TTGTAAACCACCAGGAGTTGCTCTTGTTAAATAAATAAAATAAATTTTAACATCTGCAATAACATCTCACTCAGTTTCAAATCATTATTAAGCAACACTGGGGATGAGACTGTCCCCTGTGGTACCCTGCAGCACAACTGTCATGGGGCTGAACAAAAGTCCCCCAGCAGTATTTTTTAGGAACAGCCCTGTGCCTCCAATCCCCAGCTCTGAGCCATCATACTGAAAGCCAGGGAGAGATGAAAAGGATCAACAGGGTGGCACTTCCTGCCTCTCTCAAAAAAGGTCATCTACCAGGGCAACCAAAGCGGCTTCTGTGCTGAAATCAACCCTAAAACCAGACTGCCATGCATCCAGAATAAGTTTCATTTAGCAATTGCCTCAGTTGTCTAGGTGCCTTGTCTTTATAATCTAGCCCCAAAAGAGTTATTAGTGATGAAGTACAGTGGAACCTCGGGTTACGAATTTAATTCGTTCTGTGACTCTGGCCACAACCCGAATTGCTCGCAACCCGAAGGAAATTTTCCCATAAGGTTCAATGTAATTACCGTTAATCCGTTCTGGCGTGGAGGACAGGGAGGCGGCTATTGCTTGGAGGGAGAGTCAGGGGTGGAAAAATGGCCGCGGACCACGTGTCAGGGGCGGAAAAATGGCCATGGACCGCGTGTCAGGGGCGGAAAAATGGCCATGGACCGCGTGTCAGGGGCGGAAAAATGGCCATGGACCGCGTGTCAGGGGCGGAAAAATGGCCATGGACCGCGTGTCAGGGGCGGAAAAATGGCCATGGACCGCGTGTCAGGGGCGGAAAAATGGCCATGGACCGCGTGTCAGGGGCGGAAAAATGGCCATGGACCGCGTGTCAGGGGCGGAAAAATGGCCATGGACCGCGTGTCAGGGGCGGAAAAATGGCCATGGACCGCGTGTCAGGGGCGGAAAAATGGCCATGGACCACGTGTCAGGGGCGGAAAAATGGCCGCGGACCGTGTCACAGGAGGAAAAATGGCCACGTATCCTGCTCGTACCCCGAGGTGGAGTTCACAAATCGAGGTAAATTTTTGCGGCCGGAGCTGGTCATAACCCGAAAAATTAGTTAACAGAGGCGTTCGTAACCCGAGGTACCACTGTATGTTGTTTGATAATACCTCAAGGTCCTCTTCAGAAGGGGTTGGATCACCAACATCTTCAATGTGGTGATGAAGGAACAGTCTCTCAACTCACCTCAACATTCCTAATCTGCTTGCTTTTACGAGCTTTGAATAGCTAGGATCAAGAGAGCAGGCAGTTGGGCAAAACATGGGATAACTTTGTCTACTTCCCCAGGCCTCAGTGGCTGAAAATGATCTCACAATAAATAATCAGATGATGTGCTAACTACTTCCCATAGATATGCTTCAATGTTTGCTTCTAGATGATTGTGGGTTTGACCAACTTTTTTCCCAAAGTAAATTGCAAACTCATGGTATTACTTTTCCAAACTGGGATACAACCAGTATGTCACTTGACATATTACACTGACACTGAGTAGAAAGGAACACAATAATGGAGCAAAAAAAAAAAAAAAAAACCCTCATTGCCTCCATTATTGATTGCTATGTGGTAGGTGTGATAATGTGTTCCCACCTATGCTCAATCCTATTTGTGTTAATTGTTGCATCTTTTGTGCTCTAGCCATCTCCTCCACTATTTCATTGCTCAGCACTTCTGATTAAACTGAGGAGTCCTCTAAGCTCTATATGAGTGTAGAGAGCTTTTATGCAATTGTATTGTATCAGTTGCCCAAGCCATCTCAGTATAGCAAAACAAGGCTAGGTCTTCATGAGAAGCACCAATTATATCCATGAAAATTCCCGAAATTATTCAGGAACCTCTCTATTTCCCAAAATATTTGGGTATGGACTCTCCTGGTCCCTTACTACTCCAGAAGGAAGCAGCACTGGACTCAAACAAGTCAACTGCGATAAGCCATCTCAACACATTTTAAATTAGCTTATTCAATTGGTCACTTTAATCAGCAATTGCATTTATTAAAAATGATTTAAAAATGTCCAGTTTTAAAATGATAGCATTTTGCATTTTGACTGACACTTGTTCTTTGTCACCTCATCCTTATCACAATCTAGAGTTTATATATCCTGATCCTGCAAACAAAGAGAAATAATATATACTGTTTTTCATAAATACATTGCAAAGGAAATAAAATGTTAGTTTTAATGAGATTCTGCCACTCCCAACTACATGTTAGCTGTAAAGGAATGCGGCGTTGACCTTTGGGAAGATATGAAAGAGCCATTAACGGGGAAGGAAGGAATGAGCTCTTAAGGGGGACTGTGAAAAAAATTACACAGTCCTGAGACAGAAGGAAGCATGAGAATGAATCAAAATAACCCTGCCTTATTTTTGTTGGGTATAAAATGGGACAGAGAGAAACTTGAATATGCTTTCAAAATTCTGTTTTTCTACCTTACTACAATAAACAGCATTCCTGAAATTGTGCGTTGCCTGTTTCATGACCTGGCCTACCTTGCAGGGCTGTCATTAGCACATATGTATGCAAATACAATGTAAATTTGCAAAAGATAGGTAACAGCAGATCCACCTTACCTCATCTCTGCTAGCCATATATTGGAATGTATGTCTTCAAATCCAGTGTCCATCCACTGGTAGCTGCAATTGGCATTCATTAAAGAGCAGAGTTATTGAAGTCATGGGCCACATTAGGCCAGTTTTTGCACCCATGTGTTTCAGTGAGCAAAATGTGGAACAGCTTTTGCAGCTTTTGCTTTTTGCATGTTCTTTATATGCAAGACCTAAAAATAACTGGTACAAACTCAGCCTGTGAGCTTCAGCAGTTGAGAGTAGACTTGATCCTGGGCCTCTCTGGTCCAAAACCAACATCTTCATCATAAACCACACTGGCTATCAGTGCAGTATCTATTTGCAAGTGTTATTGTGTTTCATGTCTATATTTGCCTCATTAGTGATAAGCATGCCCTGTGTAGTATATTTTATAGACTTCAGTGTATGTTAAAGTAGATATAAGGAGGCATAACAAAATTTGGAAGTGAGTCAGTGTTAAGTCAACAGTGGGTAAACAGCCATTGAGTAGCTGAATTATATATCGCTGAGTATCTGATCAGCCTGTTATTCAAAGTCGAAACTGAATCAACAAATCAGCGCTTACTGTACACTGAATTCCCACTAACAATTTGTCTTTTTTATATATTATTTTTCATCCTACTTCAGTTATGGTTGCCATTGGATGGTATGTTGTTAGTTGGATCAAGTGTCTGGCCTGAGCTGCTGCTGCTGCTGCTATTATTATTATTACTGGTCCTGCAAAGGGTCAGTACTTTGGTATATTTGGGTGCTAGAGTTCATATCACCAGTTAGGTGCCAGAACCTAGCCTTTCTTGACTGATCTCAAAAACCCATGCAGGCTCAGATCTTGCTATAGTAGAGAATATACGTAGCTCAGAGTTGAATTGTTGGGTTCTTGATGTTTTCAGTAGATGATGTTACCTAGCCTAAGAATGAAATTCAGGAAGAGAAGCAAGTTCAGAGAACACCAAAAACCCAACAGGTTCATGTTTATTTAGTACTTGGATGAGAGACCACTAGGAAATAATAGGAGTATAGCCTAGATTGGGAAGTTAAAAAATCCCTGAAAAAAGGCAATGGTGAGTCACTTCTGTATTGTGGTGGCCAAGAAAACTAAATGGCTGTGTCCATAAAATACCAGGAAACTGAGCTTAACTCAAAGGAGACTTTACTAGAGTGTGCAGATGCATTTCCAAAGCACGTACATGGGAATGAATGTGCTGTATCACCACAGTCTTCTATTTCTTTTATCACCAGGCTTTTACAAGAGGCAGGCTCATAAATACAAATACATTTGTGGGGAGCATGCTTTTGGGCCCGTCCTTGCTGCCAAGCTCCATGCATTTATCTGACCTTCTATATAAAAATAGTACATATACAGGGGTTATTCCCTCACCATTCCCTTTCCTTATCCATTCAGCTGGTGACAAATGCAGACTCTATGCTGAAAGGCAAAGTAAACCAGAGTGGCATATGACAAGAATGTTTGGTCAACATTTGCAACATGTTGATTTTATTAAATTAAGTTAAACAAATATATAGACATCTTTTTTATTTTATTGTATTCCTATGCTTTTAATGTGATTTACAAATACTGGGCACAGAAGCTAGTACATAAAGTAAAATAATGTGGAAAAGTGCTTGCAGGTTAGGCTAAGCAGCATCTGGGGTCAACATACGCCTTGATGCAAGCCATTCTGACCCGAGGAAACACTGAGCCCCGGAAATACGCGTTAAGGTGGGAGCGTCTGAATCGCTTCTATGTCCAGTATATGCCTTCGACGCCTCCCTTTTGTATCACGTATGACTCAATACAGAGTTGTATTACGGGTATGGGAACTAATAACAGGGTTTTGTGCCTGGGCGTGTAGCGATTTGCGCGCGCCTGAGTCGCAGAGAAAAAGGCGTGGGCGTGATGACTGGGAAAAACGCCTCTATGAACCAAGCCGCGGGTTAATCTTCAGGCAGGGCTTTTGATACATATTTCTGCGGCGTGTGGAGAAACGGCTTGAGGCGAGGGGGGTCGGCCTAAGGCCGGTGATTGACACGCAGAGCGGGCTGAAGAGGCTTCATATTGAAACCCAGCGGGGGGAGAGAAGCGGGGAAGAGGGTGGGCCAGAGAAGGAACTACTGTAAGAGTTAAGAAAGTCCTGCCCAGCTGTTTGCGAACTTTTTAAGATTTCCTGTTTCCCCTGCAGCTAGAGAAAGAGAGCGACTCGCACACGCATGCCAGAAGCACCCGAGCAGCAGCTCCTCCGGCTGCCTCCGCTGGGGCCTCTTCCCCACCCACACCCCCGTATCCCACGTTTCCTTCAGAGCCGCTTCGCCGCCTTTCACCCTAGCCCCGAGTCCCGCCCGCTTCCCTTCGCCCCCAGAGTCGTCCCCGCCAGGCTATTTCTCACCCGGTGCCTGCAGGCCGCCTCAGGGTGGAGGGAGATACAATGAGCTGGATTCCTAAGCACGTTTTGTTGTGGACTCTCCTGCACAGCACGGCTCACCCGCTGGGACGGGGAACAGGTAAACGTGGACTTTGATTTCGTACCTGAGGTGTGTCTGTCTGTCTGGAAGGTCTCTCCTCCCTGCTCCCCTTGTTCTCCGCACTTTCCTCTTAATAGCTGCCTAAGTTAATATACCGCACTTCGAAAGAACTCGTCAAGCCACCGCCCCTGACTTGGCACCCTCTAGATGTGTGTGATCAGGAATCCCATCACCCCCAGCCAGCACACCCATTGGGTAGATCATGAAAGTTATACTAGAGCACATCTGGAGCATATCAGGTTTAGAGAGTGTGCTTTAAGCAGTTTTTATTTGGGGGTAAATCTGCCTCTCCCCTTGCCCAAATTTATTCTGACCTTGACTGCCCCCTCCCTTTTCTGAATGCTGAAGAACATCCAAGGCACCACCCTTTGTGCCTAGATTGCTCTGCTTGCTGGCATGGCTTTGGGGTTTGCAATTTCAGGAAAGTGTAGTTCAGGAGCTTTAATCCTGGCCTTGGGTTATCTGTCAGAGACAGCTGCCTTGTTTTGCACTTCCAGCTGTTGCCACACCTAGCCTTGGATGAGTTGCTGTTTGTATATCGGTCAGTTGTGCCTGGCTTGGCAGTAATTGACAGTTGGGGTACACTGCTGTAGAAATAGGGGAACTGTATCATGTGCTAATGTTTTCTGAGTCAGAAATCCCCAGAAAGCAGAGCAGAATTTCCAAAAGTAACTTCCTTTAATTTTGCAAATGTGGCAAGGCAATCTGTACAGGAGGAACTCTTCCTATACAAATTAAAAGTAAAGGGTTGCATAGCCTCTTGTTAGCAGTTCCCCCCCCTTTTTTTAATTGCATGTTAATGTTTGCCTAGGATAAAGTAAATTGCAGAGAAAGCATGTGGCAGCTATGTTACTGAAAACAGTGGTCTAGCAAGTTCATTTCTAAAATGCTGATGCTAAATACATATCAAAGTCTTTTCAAAGTAGTGGATCAGAGTTAGGTCTGGTGTGTAAGGCATCTCTGTGTTCTCCATTTTACTTTCTGTCTTTTCCAGAAGCAGATATTTGCATTCATCTAATATACTTCAGTGCAGTAGCATTTCAAAGAGATGGATGTTTAAAGTTTTTTTGCTATATAAAAATATGATAGTTGTCGATACTGGTTTTGTGAACTAGTGATATAATAAATAAGAGTATTTACTTTCTATTAAAGTTAATGCAGGTTTTGACTCTTCTCTATCATGTTTGTGGGTGCATAGTTTTTGTTGATTGTGTATTTCCGTATTTGTAGAACTAAGATTATAGTTGGGGTAGATTGGAAGGTGATAGCAAACAGTAAGAATCTAAAAGTTTAGGCACACTTTAGGCTGTAAAATAGTACTGTATCTCCTAATCTGGTATCCTGTAGATGAATAGGACTACAACTGCTATCATCATTGGCCAGCATGATGGAAGTTGTGGTCCAGCACATCCCAAAGTCTAGCTAGAGAGAAGTTGCTTTGGAGCTGTATTCTGTAATAATAGTAACTCTCTAGAAGCCTTGTGATCCTTTTAAAAGTTTCTACTTGTTTGCTTCATCTTATGCCTGAAATACTTTCCTGAAACAACTTTCTCCATCTCCCTTTCATACCCACTTGAGCACACCATCGTGCATATCAATTTGTAATTCCTTCCATTTCCTTTTACTAATCTAGAAATTCAGACTGTAAATTTTTCAGGGCAAGGAGAATTTCTCTGCTTATACATTACTGTCATTATATAGTGAAATAACTTCCTATGTATTTCTTTTTATAAATAAAATCATATTGTAACATCACACGGTAATGATGCTATTTCTTGAAAGCTGATGGTTAATGACATTCACCATATAGTGCTAGAAGATTATGTATGTATAAAATGATATACCTTAATATTCAAATTAACACCAGTAGTAATATGAAACAGTCTGCAAGTTATTTTTAGAAAGTTAAATATTTTATTCTCACTAGAGCAGCAAATGCACTGGGATATATCATAATCATACATTACTTGTGTGATTGAAATTGCTCAAATACTTGCATAGCTCAGTATATTATTCCTGTAATGATAATATGCTGTGTGTTACCAGAATCAGTGGTACCATCATGTGGTTAAACCTTAAAATGTAAGGCTCATTGAAGACTCTTCATAGGATAGTGTCAAATATATGTATGTTTTAGAAAAAAACACATGCTTATAAGAATCAATACATTGCTTGTCTTGATAGAAGTTATAGATTAAGTTGCTGTGTTGTACATGAGTTTTAAAGAGGGATTAAAAGGTTAATAAATAGCTTTTTTCTTGAATACTGCACAATTCTTTCATCTTCCCTTTCCAGTGAGTCTGATTATATCTTCTAATTAGTTGCTCCTGAAGATCAGAAGACCCTCTGGAGCAGGATTCAGGGCACCACTAGCAATTTTATTTTTTCGTACCCAAAGCTGTTTGTGTTTTGGCCTGTGTATTCTGGCTAGTTTAAGATTAAGCCTCATGAGCAAATAATAAACAAGCTTGTCTTTCTCTCCAAGTTATAGTTGGAGTGGATCTCTTCAACTGAAAACTGATAGTTTTCAATATGACAAACAAGTGAAAAGTTAGTTAACAATTATTTGGCATGTATACTTTCCTTTTTGTCTGTCTTCCTGTTTTCGTTATGTCAGAAGTTTAAATTGAAGTAACTTAAAGTACCTACAGATGTGTAACATGAAGGCTGACTTGATAAACTTCAAGTTATTTTGGGAATATGTTCTTTTTTTTGGAATCTACAGTAATGTATAGGAAGGGGAGTTACTTGGCAATAATTTGTTTATTTATATAAATTTGTTATAGCCAAGCAACTTCAGTAATGATTATTGATTAATTTAAAACATATACCAGTTCCCTTTAAATATATAAAGTGGTTTATAATAAATTTTAAATAGTTTTTGTCCAAACAAAGTAAATTAACTGGAAAAAACTTATTTAAATTTTGAAGTTGCTACTTTTCAAGGAGTGAGCAGGTATGAAAGCTACAGATTCATTAATAAAAGTTCCCTTTGTATACTTTGAGATCTGTATGAAAATTCTTCAGTCCATAGTTTTGATTTATTTTTTTACAGGGACCAGTTAAAAAAAAATCAGATTGTTTAAATACATTTTGGATATTCACTGGAGTGGTTTTGTTCAAAAATGCCTTCAGTAATTTATAATGGGATGGCTCCCACCCAGCAGTCCTCACATATATCAAGTTTTCTTTAAGGTAGCTACCCTCAGTCACTTGCAATGTAAGATAGTTCCTGGAGGGGAGTAGATTGTAATTTGTTCAGACTCAGTCTGATTTGAGTGCATGTCAAGCAGTATGTATGAGGTCAGAACTAGGGGATATAGGGCTAAGTATAAGAAACAGCATATGGTATGTTCTTTCAATTTTTAAAAAATAATTTTTGTAATCCAAATAGGACTACTAGCTACATGCAATTTTGCATAGCAGATCAATGACAGTACCTTTACATCAGTGTCTAATATCATGCTAAGTGACATGTACCTCATGTATAGCTGAAAGAAGATTGAAATACTTTTGCGTTTGTTTTCCCAGGTGATAAAACATTGGTGATGACCATAGTTACTCTAAAATTAGTCAGTGGAGTTTCTAAAGCTAGTCTGTTTAAATCAAACATAATTCTGGTTTGTGAAGAAAGTTAGCATTTTTTTCCTTGGTTCTGTGTGAGGAAAAAAACAGGGAGACATGTAAGCACACTGGGACTCACTCTTATTCCCACTGATTCAGAGCGGGAGAGCACAGTCTGAGACCCTTGAGAGCACCTGCAATATGGGTCCCTGTGTGATAATTCTTTATTGGGTAACAGAAAGAGAAATTATTCAACAGATGGGGAGGCATTCTATTAACTATTTAATCAATGTAATTTACCAAATCAATGTGATTTGCAAACATTAATACTTTTTAATAATTTCTTATTAATTTTTAATTTTTCCCCTTTTATCTTTATAGGATATAGAAATAATGAGCCAAGGTAGTCATCACTAGATAATCATCAAAGAAGTCCAAACAGTGTTTATTAATGAAACACACAATGATTTGGCTTTTGAGTTGAAACAATTAAAAACTCCCACAATTTCTAAAAATGTATTGATCTTTTCTACTGTATAATCAGAACCAATTTTGAAATGTTTTTGTCACAGATTCTTTGTAATTCTGATGTTAGGATTTTATTTGGGAAGCACTAATTATTATGAATCATTTAATATAATTACTTTGGTCTATACCAAATAAAACCTTATATTTTTAATAATAAATTCGCTCTTTTATTATACTTGGATATAAGAACATTTATTCAGTATGAAACATTATGCCATATTTAATTAGACTTAAATATTAAGAACTGAACAACTATTTTTGGAGAAAAAAATGTATTCATAGAAAGATTTGTTAGATTTTCCTTTTGACCTATGTTGACCTTTCAGTTTATATATATATATATAACATTGAATCCTAGGGAAAAAGCTACTGTATGTGTTTTTTGACATTATCAGTTTATAAACTTCTCAGTTTTTCTTGCTTCTTGGAATGTAATTTTTTTTTTTTGAAGAATTTATATCATTTCTTGATAATACATCTCTATCCCTGTGGCGGCAACTATTAGCATTCAGTAAGTAAGCCCTGTTGAGTATTATGGGAATTTTTTTTGAGTAACATGCCTATGATTAGACTGGAAATATTGAAACCCATTTTGCTTCGATCAGGTATGACAGAGTAATGGGTGAAATTGGATTATTTCTTAAGGAAAACAGTTGACAGCAATACCTTTCTCTTGCCTTTTATCTTTGGATAATCTAAGTTGAAAAAGCAGTCTTTTCTTTTACTATCATGGAAGACTACTAAGGATATTGCTAGTAATGTATAGAATAATAATACTAACAGAAGTATATATGTGGACCCAATATAAATATGTGTAAGATATCAGCAACCAGTACAGAAGGTTCAGTCACCTTTCCCAAACTGACCAGTCCAGGTGTTGGATTGCAATTCACAGAATAACCAACCAACATGGATGCTGAGTGTTACTGTCCTACACATCTAAAGGGTATCAGGTTGCAGGATGCTGTGCTAAATCATCAAAATAAAGCATCTTGTATGTATTTTCAGTGAAAAATAGGACTTTCCTTTTTGACATGAGAAAAAATGTGTGTAAATGTACCCACAGGAAACAAAATCTAATAGT